TACTACGCACGTACATAGTTAGGGATGAGGAAAGAAAGGAGAGAATAAGAAAGACGATAAAAATATATCGCAACATCAATTTATTATAAATATGGATTCGAAGAATCATCATCATGATGTTTCAACCACCAATTATAAATCTTAAATACATTTTGTAAAGCGCAATTTTTTACATAATTTTCACAATGCATAGTATTCTTAACATCTAACATATTTAAAGAAGCTACATCCTCATAGTCTACATCGAAAGTTTCGATAATGACATTGTTTTTCACATCATCGTCCAGTATATCGGCCAGCCATTGCCGTTTTTCGTGCCCTTTAACGTATACGAGAGGTAACGCATCTTCCTCCGTTGCATCACCGCCATTGTGATTAAACGTTTCGACTTCCAATATGAAACGTGTCCATTATTTCACGATAATCCATGGTGGTTTTTAATCAGCCATAAAACCTGACATCTCTCAGATTTTGTGAGCGTGTGCCATGGTACCGGACATGTAAAAATGTAATGAGAAAGTAAGGATCCTTTTCTCAAAACCGCAGCTTCCTTCACGAAAAAACTTTTCCCAACGATAAATCCTTGCAGATCCACAAACGTTGGCGCAATCATGATGACAAGATCCGATCGCAGACTGATGTCGATCGTCAAACATCTCAATCTTTTATATTTTTCTTCATGTGCAATGAAGGGGATATTTGCTGACCTATGTAATTTTGTGGACTCCGTTGGTCAATGGATTATATTCGACAACCCGATTGTGCAACATGAGACAATAGGCGGTAGTATTCGCCGATATATTTTCCCTGCACTCAAACTCTATTCTCACGTCCATGGTAGCAGTTTTGACAGACTCGTTTTGTCGCGAGCAATCAATGACCGCTAGAGGACCTCAATGTAGAAACTTTGGAATGGTTAATAGCGCGGTGCTATTATTGCATCCGTAATAAGATTTGCGAAAACGAGAATACATGTCGAATAGAACGGCGAATCTATTTTTTCAAAATCTAAATTTAAATCATCGTAGGGATAAAATTCCGAGTTTAAATAGAGTTTAATAGAGTTTGGTCAATTTGCAGTCATCGAACAATGTAACATCTTGTGACACCGAATTATTTTTACCAGTTTGCAGTGCAAAGGTGCATGAATCGCGGTTTCTTTAGCTGGGAGGCGGCTTTCACGATTCACGAATGTTTGGTCGTGCTATGTAGCAGAGGAAATTCGTGTAGATCCTAAGATCGGAAACTCATGTTCAAGTATCGTCCGCTTTCCAACATTCGCAACATTGATAATTTATTAATTTCGTTCAATATTACATGAGGCATACGCCACTGTATCTTGAGTAATTCAATCTCAGCTTCCGACGACGGATGTCCGAATAGACAATTGTTATCGTTGCGCGAACGTATCAAAATCAATTCATGACGAGCGTTAATCACAACGCGTTTATAATCTTCGCAAAATCCCAGCAACATGTTGAGCGGCACGCAAAAGTTGAAATAATTTTTGTCACCGTTGTACGTCAAATCCCACGCAGCGTTCTTCAAGTTTATACTTTTCTGATGTGTTAGAGAGACAAAATTTTTGAGCGTCGATGTTATTCCAACATTTTTGTTGCGATCAATCTCTACTCCGTCGAGTTCGTATTGAAGCTCATCAAACATGAATGCGACGCAATTGTTTCCCAATACAACCTTCATTTCCTCATTCGCTTTACGCACATTAAACCTTCCCTCGATGTAAAGAAAGCTTTCGCACGGTAACGTGTACAAATCCTGATGTTGTATAGGTATTCGTATCTCATCCCTGTATCCAAGCGTCGTATGGATTGTACGTATGAGTCTCAATCTTGACGATGCGATCGTCAAAGACTGGCTCACCTCCGATATTCAAAATATCAATCATTCTTTTCGTACGAAGAATCCCAATGATTTCAAAAATTCACGATTCAACGCGCTCAGCTTCTTTTTAACGGATGTCTTATTATTGTCACCCGATACTGCTCGCCTTACTGCAATAGTATTGTCTCGCGTAAAAGTATTGTCTCTCGCGTGCTCCGTTTCGTTCAGCACAAGCATACTATGTTTGTCGTCGCCGTATATGCAATCTTACTGTAATTTCCTCTTCTCGAAAATCGAGCAATCGACCTCTTTGACCCACAATACGTATCGTTAAATCCGTAATGCTCCGTACGACGGCAGATAGATGATCTGTGCCGGCGTTTCCGATATCTTATATCCTGGCGGTACGCTCGGTGAAAATTCATGTATCGTGTGACGCATGCCGTTGCTGTACGCACCAGTAGTCACGTTGCATTTTATACGAATAATAATTATGTTTATAATATTAACAGGTTCGTCCAATTTATACCACTTGCGAGGTTGCAATATACGATTCGACGAGAATCCAAGCAAGGATCCTACATTGTCGGGTTTAGTAAAGTTTATTCTGTAGGTGCATTTGATTTCGCACTTTAGCGTATTGTGATTGGCGCGACGCACTATTGGATATTCCTCATCATAATCGTTTTCAACATCTCTGGAAAGGTGTTCATCTCGCAAAATTGCGCGTTTGAGATAGTCATTTATGGCGTGCAATTCGTACGATCCTTCGGGAATCGTAATTTCCTTGTCGTCGTTGTCAAAATAAAATTTATTATTCGAAAAATTTACGTTCGGAATCGTATGATAAGTTTCAAAATCCGTTAATCCGAGCTCGTAATCGGCATCGGTCAAATCTATAGTGGGGAAATAGCTTACAGCGAGAACGCTGCTTCTGCCAGTCAACGTAAGTGTCAGTGATATTTCGAACGAATACTGAGTCGTGACGATGGATTGTCAGGCTTTAAATTGATCGTTTGAAGAAATTTTAAACACAAATGTTCACAGATACTCTGATTATAACTATGATAAGATGTGTAATTGTATTCAATTTTAACTCGTCCGAAATATCGCACAAGTTCCTTGGGCAGTCGAAGATTTCCAAAACTGTCGAAATATACGACACGATCATCCCTTTTTGCGTACGCCACCCAATGAGTACCGGGACCATTAACGTCATCCAAATTGACGATACTGCTCTCGTTTCGTTGGACACCGCTTATCGGTAAATTATTGCGCATGAAAACACCTCTAAAGAAAGGTATACGCATACGTTTCGCAAATTGTTCCAATTGCACGTTAGTTGTCGCACTCATAGGCATTTTAAATGTTTTTTCGACATTTTTTTTTTCTCTTAGACTTTGTTGAGAATCCCTGTCCACGCTTGTACGGAGCGAGATAAAGTCCGTGACCTTCCATAGCGCGATTGTGACGCTGCATCTCTTCCAGCTAACGTTGCGCGGCTTTGCTATCGTTTACCGCCTTTGCAATTCCCGCTGCACCGCCGGCCAAAGAACCGACAACTCCCAACAACGGTAAAAGTGGTAAAATACCACCGCATTTCGCTACTGGAAGTATTTGTTTTTTGTTCCTCTTTGTCGTCGATGGCTTTTTCATTCCCATGCCGAGTTTTGTCTTTGCTTTCATTGTCGCTCAAACAGTCGTAGGGGCTGTTCTTTCACCGAGAGTCGAATCCCTTGCGGTAATGCGTTCTCGCGCTCTTGCAGCTAGTATGCGATCCGCGATGTGACGTTCGTTGAGGTCGTTGCTTCGCGCGTAAGCAATGTCGTGTTCGCGACACGCCGCGTCCAATGGATTGATACCTCGATCACCTCTAGCCAATCGTTTCTCTAATCGAGTTCCTGGCCCGTAAAACTGATAACCGGGAATATGTAATTCGATGGGAAGCGCGTTTATCGCATGATTTAAAAGATCGCTGCCTCTTACGAATCTCGCTGACATTCGTAGCAATCTTTTATCAACGGTGGTGGACCGTCAATGTGTGTTCGTTGCCACGACTGGTTGTAATGTCGCATGCTCGAACGATATTGTCGAATCTGCGAATCAACCTTTATATATTCTGGAAGCTTGTTCCACAATCGTTCCACGTAATCACCGAAATTTTGTAGTAATAGAATCTTTGGGATATACTGCAGTTGTTCGGCGGTAAGCCGGAGAATGTCTCTCTCATCCGACAGAAGGAGAAACATTTTTGATACTGAGCGGTTTCGAGTCGAGACACTTCTATAAATAGGTCTCCTCCTATCATTCGCAAAATTGATTCGAAAGGCAAAACATGCGGTTCGTGCGACAAGCGCGGGTAATCAAAGTATCAAATTTCGACGATAGATTAATATCGGAGAAAAAAGTACGCAAGCATGGAAACATGCTGCCGACTACTATACGCGGTATCGTTTGCAGCCCTTCAAACTGTGGTAAGACAAACGTTGATTAGTTTGATAGAAAGTCCGCACGGTGTACGTTTCGAGAACGTGTACGTATATTCGAAATCGCTTCAACAGCCGAAATACAAATACTAGGAAAATTTACTAACACCTATAGACGAAATTGGTTATTTTACATTCTCTAATAACAGCGATGTCATTCCACCGAGCGAGGCGCTTCCGAATTCCATCTTTATCTTTGATGACGTGGCGTGCGATAAGCAAGATACGATAAGAGAGTACTTTGGGTCGACACTCGAGCGTTGACTATTTCTATCTTTGTCAGACGCCAAGATACCTAAGCATCTTATACGCGACAACGTGAACCTGCTGATCCTATTTAAACAAGACGGCACAAACTTGAAACACGTGTACAACGATCACGTGAATACCGACATGTCGTACGAGGATTTCAGTGAATTATGTCGTACTTGTTGACAACAAAAGTATGGATTCCTAGTGATAGATAAGGACATCTCGCTTACGAACGGGCGATACAGAAAAGGATTTAACGTGTTCGCGATACCGCAAAACGATTAGTCGCTGCCAACATTTTGTCGAGAAGGGTGAAACCATTCCGTCAACATGGCTGAAAGCGATAATATTCGTGAGCGTGAAAAGATTGCGAAGGAGATTGAGAAAACGAGCGAATCGATCCGCAAGAAACATCGCGCTTTAAAGACCAGTAAGATCGACGACGATATCGCAGTCAAGACCCATTTTAGACCTATTATGGAGCCACTATAAAAAATCGCCGACAACTCGAGCTTTATCGCGATGAAAAATGAGCCGGAGAGTAACGCTGACACTATAATTAAAACATTACCCAAGCGGTATAAGGAGAAAGAGTAGGAGAAGGAGGAGGAGGAGGAGGAGGAGGAGAATGCGACACCGAAAAAGAGAAAACGATTGAAGGCTAAACGTTTATTGATGCTGCGTACATTGGATGAACCGCTGCTAACCTCTACACCGCTGATAACCTCCACACCGTCCGGGATAACGAGAACCGTACAATCCAGGATACCCAAATTACTTGACGAGATCGAAGAAGTTCTCGAAAAATCCCAAAAAAACCTGTTTCAAGAGGAAGTTTTCGAAACCACGGGCAACCCGCTTGAAACATCCATTCGAAACAGATTACAAACGTCGGAAGGTCAAGAAGTGTTGCGAGAACACTTGGGATCACTGGGACAAAAATACATAGGCTCTTCTTAGCGGTGATGAAAGAAAAAACACGATCGATCACGTGTACGGCATCTATTTCGACGAGAATGGAATGCGTCTCGGTAACAACCGATTCGACATTGACAAACATAACTCTATAATCATAGACAAAGTGAGGTATATTGGTACACCAGGATTATACGAGTTGATCTTCAAGAGAATTCCCGACGACGTCATATACACTGAGGACGATATGCAAAAATATAAGAGCATATTGATGACGACGAGTGCGCATAAACGTCAATATGATGCGCAAGGTCAATTAAAGAGCATGTCTTACGACGATTTCCGTGCATTGTGTTAGAAATGTTAGCAACGCAAATATGGCTTCGTAGTTATTGATAAAAATAGTACGTTGATCAATGGACGATATAGAAGGGGATTTAATGATTTCGCGATACCGTAAAGCGATCAGTCGTCATCGACATATCGATCGAGCATCATGAACGGCGATCGTGAAAAGATTGCGACAGAGATTGCAAAAACGAGCGAATCGATTCGCAGAAAATATCGCGCTTTGAAAACTGGTAAAATGGAGGAAGATATCGTATTAGAAAGACAATTTAAACCGATTACCGAACCTTTAAAACAGCTTGTCAAAAATACTGTGGAATCTGATACGTCGAAAATCAAATCGTTGAGTTTGACGTTTAAAGAGAAGCACGAGGAAAAAATAAGAGTCCAAGCAAGGAATAAAGCGAGCACGGATATGCCGATAAACGATTCACCGATATATTCGACATCGAATCGATCAAAGCGAAGGAAGCAATTTTCTAATATGGCTATTGTTTCTACTCCGATAAAAGTACAACCGCGTCAAACAATACCATCCACATCCGTCGAAGAAATTTACGAGACCACACCCGATTCGTTTGTAACATCGATCCGATACGAATTAGAAACATCCGAAGATCAGAAAACGTTCCGAGAGCATTTAGGTTCACTGGCGCAAAAATATATAGGAGATATTATGAGTGTGGATAAAAAAAAAGCATGGACGTCTACGGTGTTAAATTTACCAACGAAGGAATGATGCTCGGTGATAAATGTTTCGATGTGGACAAGGAAGATAATATAATTATCGATGGAATAAAATATAAGGGAATCGAAGGAATCTACGATTTAATTTTTTAAAAATTTCCCAATCAAATAATATACTCGAGACAATTTGCATAAATATCGAAGTATATTAAATATAACAAATGCGCATAAACGTGACAACAAAGTTAATAGTCCTATTAAAAGTAATAAAGGATACAAGTACAAATATATAATTGCGGCAGCCCCGATAGAAAGATGGGAAGAGGTATAGACGCGCCGCGTTAAGCGACAACATGATCGATTACGTGCATTGGAACGATCCCAACGAATTGGTGGATCGTTTGCGATTGCTGGACGCCTCGCGTCGAGCCGGCAACAATGCTCACGACAATGAAATCTTGTCAATTATCGAAGAACTTCGCGAGGCCGACATTATTATAAATCAAACTATGTGTTCGCGAGTGAGCGCGGATTGCTGCGACAGCGCGAAGTTTTGAACACGCGGCAGACGGATGGCCGCGAGCAGATTATTTGATGCAAAAAACTTGACGACACGTAATTCTTTTTTTGGTTTTTTTTTTAGTTTTATTTTCACCACACAATTAATAACAATATACACAAAAAAATGAACATATATTTCAGATGCCGAAATAATAAAGAGAAGTCCGAGTGAGAAGCGGTCGTTATACTTGCGGTTAGATAAAGCGGTTTAGCGAAGCGGTTTTAAGAATACTCTGCGAGCAGCGATAAGTGCGAGACTTAGCTGGTCCACGCGCGGTGCCCATTATAAAGCGAGCGGATTTTTGGGCCCGCTTCGACGTGGACCAATTAATTTAACATTTTAGCGGTGACACTATTGCAGCGTGTGTCATTGGTTGTTAATGACGTCTCACGTTGGACGTCGCTTATTTTCCATGCAATCTTTTTAGATCAGCTGATTGGCGATCAGCTGATCGTAACGCATGGACGCGCATGCCCATGAGCGGTGTAAATTTTAACGGCGGTTGACAATAATATTGTCTGCGGTGATGATTAGCGTTTTTCTGGTGGCAAAAAAGGCGAGATAACTCGAGCGTTCGAGTTTTTTTTAACAAATAGACTTTTCGAGAAGATTCTCGACGCCTGTTAATTTTTAAATTCTCGCTTATTTATTAGCGAAAACATGCGAATTTCGCTATGCGATTTTTAGACTAGAATGATTATTTTTAATTTTGAACATCCCGCCCGCCTCGTCAGTACGTGACGAAATTTACGAGTGTGTGCGGTTACAAACAGGTGTCGCGAACTGTGCTATTGATGAGATGTGAAATGAGTGATGAATGGAATGTGAAGTGACGTAGTACGAGACACGTTGTTTAGTTTAATCGAGTCTTTCGCGAGAACATGTGGTGCAGTGAAATGAGGCGTATACTTGTGAATTGTGAATGATCTCGCGAATGTGATGAATCTCAAGTGCTGGTGTATTAAACAATCGCAAGTGAAGTGCAGTGGTAAGTGAACGTGAATGCAGATTGTGACGCGAAGTTCGGAAAAAGTGAAAGAGAAGTTGATTACGCGGTACGATTATCGGACAATGCACGGCCGAGATAAACATTTCAGTGGACGGACAAGTTAGTTATAAAAAGAAAAATAAAATAAAATAAAATAAAACACGGTGCTCTTTTTCGCTCACGAATCCGGGTGCGTTGGTGCTGCGGTGTCGGCTCCAGGCAGGAGGACGATCTTGGTGAGAGGCCGGACAAGCTCCGAAGATGTGGTACGTGGTGACCACGCGTGTCACGCCGTCATCCCCAGGATGCAGCCGGGTGATCTGGGCGAGTGGCCAGCGGGTCGGCGGTGTTGTGTCCGACCGCACGAGACACAGGGCGCCGACGGTAGGACTGGCTGAGTCCTTCAGCCATTTCGGTCGGGATGCCAAGGCGTTGACGTATTCTCGTGACCACCTCTCCCAAAAGTGGTCGCGCATCCGTTGGAGGAGTTTCCAGCGGGACAAAAGACTGAAGCTGCCGTCCGCCAGTGAGGGCTCAGGCACTGCCAGCAGAGGAGCTCCGATCAAGAAGTGTCCTGGAGTGAGTGCCGTTATGTCGTCATGATCGTCCGATAGTGCTTGAAGAGGACGCAAGTTGAGGCACGCCTCCTCTTGAGCGAGGAACGTCATCTCCTCGAAGGTGAGGGTCGTGTCTCCGAGGACCCTTCGCAGATGGTGTTTCGTCGACTTCACCGCCGCCTCCCAAAGCCCGCCGAAGTGAGGTGCTGCCGGTGGATTAAATCTCCACCGGATTTCGTCGGACGCTGCAATGTGAGCGATGCGTCGGCCGTCGGATGACGATGCCTGAAACAGGAGTCGAAGCTCTCGGTCCGCTCCGACGAAATTGGTGCCGCAGTCGGAGTAGACTTCCTTGCACAGGCCCCGACGAGAAGTGAAGCGCCGAAACGCAGCGAGAAATGCATCGGTGGAGTAGTCCGATGCGGCTTCCAGGTGGACGGCCTTGGTGGCGAAGCAGATGAAGACGGCGATGAATCCCTTGTGCGACTTGTGACCTCTTCCCTTTCTGGTTCGGATGAGACCCGGATCGGCCCGGCATAATCAACACCGGTTCGCAGGAATGGACGTGCCGGTGCGACTCGTGCCGTTGGAAGGCTGCTCATCATGGGCTGTGGTACTGCGGCTTTCCATCTTACACACGTGACATACCGGTGGATGGTTCTTTTGACGATGGAGCGTCCTCGGGGAATCCAGTACCGCAGGCGAAGCAGTCCAAGGGTGAGCTGAACCCCGCCGTGAAGCGTTCGTTTGTGGTGTGCCTTAACGAGGAGTTGCGTCATCCACGACTCTGGAGGTAAGATGATCGGATGGCGTTCGTCTTCTGAGAGCACAGCGTGCTTCAGCCGGTCCCCGACTCGAATGATCCCATGGTCGTCAAGGAAGGGGGTTAATTTCATTATTGGACCCTTGACTAACTTTTGATTTTGTTTCAGGGCAGTGATCTCCTTGGAGAAATGGAAAGCTTGCACCAAGCGGAGCCAGAGGAGCAAGGCTGCCTTTAGCTCGTCAGGCGTGAGATTGAGGTGAGCCCTCGAACTCGGTGGGTTGCCTCGCCATCGGCAACACCAGGCGGTGACCCTCAGGAGGCGATGGAGATCGGAGAATCTGAGAAGCATCTCTGGCTCGGCTTTCTCCGTGGTCGTCAAGTGGGAGGCGATTGCTCTCGTCTCTGGCACCTCGACGTCGTGTGTGGCGTGGTCGTGCTGTGGCCAGAACGCTGGATCCTTGGCGAGCCATGGGGATCCCGTCCACCAGAGGGAATGGTTGAGCAGGTCCCGGGGCTCAATCCCCTGAGAGGCGCAGTCAGCGGGGTTGTCTCGCCCTGGGATGTGTCGCCATCGTGCCTCCGGAAGTTTCGTCTGGACGTGGGACACCCGGTTGGCCACGAAGGTTTTCCACTTCGAGGCGTGTCCTTGTATCCATTGAAGCGTGACCCGGGAGTCCGACCATAGAGTAACTGGGGCTGAAAACAAGTCTAAGGCATCGCAGAGATGAAAAGTCAGGTTAGTGACCAAGACTGCAGCGCACAATTCCAAGCGCGGTAGAGACACGGGCTTAATGGGCGCAACTTTGCTTTTTGCAGCAAGCAGGCTGATCGTGGTCGAGGAGGAGCTCACCACGCGGAGGTAAACGACGGCTGCGTAACCTCGCTCTGACGCGTCAACAAACCCGTGGAGCTCAACGTGATTTGGTTGACTGTCGGCCCTCAGCCATCGTTGCAACCGGAACTGTTCTAACAGCGGAAGATCCTCAAGCAGACGTCTCCACAACGTCTCATCTGATTGAGGAGTGGGGAGTCCCAATCTAATTGCTTCATCCATGCTGACTGGATGAGGATTTTTGCACGAGCGGTGACTGGGGCTAACCAGCCTAAGGGGTCGAAAATTCGAGCTGTCTCCGACAACGCCTGTCTTTTGGTCAGCGGGGCGGTCGTGCGAGGCTGGAGGCGGAATGTAAAGGAGTCGCTGCGGGGGTGCCACCGTAGACCAAGCGTCGGATGCGCTTCGTCCTCTCAGTCGTGGTGTGGCTGCTGGAGTTGATGCTCCCTTGGTATCTCCTCGAGGATCCTCTCGTGATTTGAGGCCCACTTCCTCAAGGGAAACCCGCCCGCCGTGCAGAGTCGGCGTAACTGCTCTGTTTCTCGACTGCCTCGGACAGGGTGCTGGCGCCTGTAACGATGTCGTCGACATAACAATCGCGCCTCAAAGCGACTGCCCCCTTGGGGTTTGCCGGCTCCTCGTCGGCTAATTGGCGGAGAGTCCTGATAGCCAAGAAAGGTGCACAGACCAATCCGTATGTCACCGTATTGAGTCGATACTCCTGGACGTCATCAGTGCGTTGTCGCCTCCAGAGGATCCGCTGCAGATCACGATCGTCGGGATGTACTAGGATCTGCCGGTACATCTTCTCGATGTCAGCGATGAAGACGAAGTGGTGCCAACGCCAACGAAGGAGGACGTCGGCGAGAGTTGGCAGAAAGTTGGCTCCGACCAGTAAGGTGTTGTTGAGCGAGTCTCCGGCAGGCGTACACTGGGATCCGTTGAAGACGACTCTCAACTTGGTGGTCGTGCTGGAAATCCGGAGCACTCCGTGATGCGATAAATAGCACGCGGAGTTTTTGATAAGCGGTGTTTTGACCAAGGTCATATGTTTCAGGTTCGAGTACTCCTCCATGAAGTCGCCATAGAGCTGGTTGAAGCTGGCGTCTCTGGAACGGCATCGCTCCATTGCCGTGAGAAGTCGCTCGGCGGACTTTCGCGTGTGATCAAGAGGTGGAAGAGGGCCAGCCAGCGGAAGACGCACCATGTACCTTCCGTCGGCGAGGCGCTCATGAGTGCGAAGATCTCTTCACATCGCTCTTCGTCCGGGGTAAGCACGACGGAAGCAGGCTGCTCCCGCTCTTGCTCCCAGAACCTCTGAACTAGAGCGTTCAAGTCGTGGTCGATAATGCACTGGAGGGAGCTGAGGGAGCCATTGGCCGTTACGACTCCGCAGCCTCCTGATAATATCCACCCGAACGTAGTCCTCTGCGCGATGGGTTGGTCCTTGCGATCCTTGCGGAAACCTTCGAGGAGAATCCCGGAGAAGGCATCGGCGCCGAGGAGAAGATGGATGAGGTCTCGCTAGAGATATTGCGGATCCGCCAGAGTGAGGCCGTGAATGTGCGGCAACGTGGTGGGGCCCTGAATTGCTGGCCCCTGGTAGGAAGACAGCCGTGGAAGGACGTAGGCGACTACAGTGAGAGGGGCTCCAGTCACTCTTGACTTGAGAGCGAGCGTTACCCTTCCGCGAGTGGATCCTGAGCATGCTCCTCCGATTCCAATTATGGACATTGAGGAGCGGGTGCGTGCCAGACGGAGGCGCTGTGCCAAGTCCTCCGAGATGAGGGACACTTCGGATCCCTGGTCGAGCAGGGCTCGCACATCCTGAGGTCGTCCCAGACGGTCGGTGAGTGTGACGCGCGCGGTGGCGAGAAGAGTCGCCCTTTTGTCGAGTGAAGTGCGTGTCGTGGAGAAAGTGCTCGCTTCGTGTGGTATTGGTGTTGTGTACGCGTCGTGCAATAGCGTGTGGTGCCGCGACTTGCACGTGAAGCACGTTTTGATGGACTGACACTTTGCCATCATGTGGTTCCCGAAACAGTTGAAGCAAAGTCCACTGACCTCAACGAATAACTTTCTTTCGCTCGCGGACTTGGACTTAAACTCGGGGCACTGCATAAGTGTGTGTTTGCCCTTGCAGGCCGCGCATTTGGACCCGTTTTTAACGAAGTGAGACTTCGCGGTCCGAGAGGCTTCCCCGGCACTCTTCATGGCGATCTTGGGTTTGGCGGCGTTCAAGGTAAGAATCCTTTTACTAATGAAATCAGTGAGTGCCTCGTGAGTCGGCGGATCGGGAGAATCGCTGATAGAAGACTCCCACTCGAGGCGCGTTCGCGAGTCGAACAATTCGATCACCAAGTGATTGAGGAGATCCATCCCATGGGAATTGATGGGTCTTCCGATGCTTTCTTGCGCGTTGACGGTGGCCGTGACGGCGTGATGGACACGGCTTAGTTCTTCGGCGGACTCGGACTTCATTTTCCCGACAGCAGTGAAGGTAGAGAAATTTGATCGCATGAGCTCTTTTTTATTCTCAAAGTGTTTTGCCAAGATCGCCCAAGCGCGGTCGTAATTCTCGCTTGTAACCGTTAATGATCGGATTAATTTTTCCGCAGATCCCTTCACGCAGGAGCGAAGGTAATGGAACCGCTCAATGTTCGAGACCGACGGATTCTCTCCGACAAGGGATAAGAAGAGGTCCCGGAAGGAAGGCCAGTCTTCATAGGCGCCCGAGAACGGCGGCAATTTTATACGCGGCAACACGGTTTTGGGAGAAGACTCCGACTTCGGCTCGATTCTGTGTGCGACAACTGACTCGGCGCTTAGCCTGTCAGCGTAGTCGCTCAACGTGCTCCGCTGAGAAACGTATGTACATTCCGCAGTATCGATGAAATCATTTTTGGCGTACTCACTCTCCAAGTATCTATCTTTAAGCGCCGCTCGTATCAGTTCGTGTTGAGCCTCGAATTTCGCCCAGAGGTTGTCGAGGATGGTGAGGCAAATGGCACCGGCGGTGATGTTGGTGACTCCCATCTTGCGGAGGTTGTCCACGGAGCGAGACATTCGCCCGTGGATGTCGATTTGAGCCTCTAACAAGGCCTTCAGGTCGGCACTCATCTTGACGTATCTGCTTTTCTGTCTGTTTAGAAGATTTGCACTCAGCACTGCACAGCACTGAGAACGTCACTCACGAAACTGCGGATGCGGATATTATCCGGCTCGAAGGACCAGAAATGTTCGCGAGTGAGCGCGGATTGCTGCGACAGCGCGAAGTTTTGAACACGCGGCAGACGGATGGCCGCGAGCAGATTATTTGATGCAAAAAACTTGACGACACGTAATTCTTTTTTTGGGTTTTTTTTGAGTTTTATTTTCACCACACAATTAATAACAATATACACAAAAAAATGAACATATATTTCAGATGCCGAAATAATAAAGAGAAGTCCGAGTGAGAAGCGGTCGTTATACTTGCGGTTAGATAAAGCGGTTTAGCGAAGCGGTTTTAAGAATACTCTGCGAGCAGCGATAAGTGCGAGACTTAGCTGGTCCACGCGCGGTGCCCATTATAAAGCGAGCGGATTTTTGGGCCCGCTTCGACGTGGACCAATTAATTTAACATTTTAGCGGTGACACTATTGCAGCGTGTGTCATTGGTTGTTAATGACGTCTCACGTTGGACGTCGCTTATTTTCCATGCGCGCAATCTTTTTAGATCAGCTGATTGGCGATCAGCTGATCGTGACGCATGGACGCGCATGCCCATGAGCGGTGTAAATTTTAACGGCGGTTGACAATAATATTGTCTGCGGTGATGATTAGCGTTTTTCTGGTGGCAAAAAAGGCGAGATAACTCGAGCGTTCGAGTTTTTTTTAACAAATAGACTTTTCGAGAAGATTCTCGACGCCTGTTAATTTTTAAATTCTCGCTTATTTATTAGCGAAAACATGCGAATTTCGCTATGCGATTTTTAGACTAGAATGATTATTTTTAATTTTGAACACTATGCGTCGACGATACGTGTCATTCGGTCAATGTTCTCGGTACCGAAATGTCGATTAATAAATTTGGATTATCGTTGGGAACGTCGAACAATTTGTACTATGAATGGAATGGATTATTGAGAAATTATGTTCGCGATAACGCTCTCTGTCAGACTACTACCGGCTTTGATGCAAGGTCGCGCAAGATTCAACGCGTAGCGCAACCGGAAGCTGATACCGACGTCGTCAACAAACGATACGTAGATAAACTTTTGAGATCGAAGAGGGAGAAATTGAGCAAAAAATTATCGCGCTCGAAACAAACGTACAGGCGCTGCGATTAATGATGGATGAGATAAAGAATGTGCTGAGATATGCAACATCTGACTCGACACAGTAAGCGAGATATACTAATATCACATATTAATTATGCCTCGATCAAACGTGCGAGAGAACAAAAACACCTCCGAAAAGCGACAACTAGTCGAGGAATTACATGCTCCGGCGAGAAAAAATTTTCCACGAAGACGCGTCATTGTACGCGGATACGACGATCTGTGGCAGGCGGATGTAGTGGACATGCGTTCGTACTCTCGACCCAACAAAGGTCATAAATACATACTCACGGTTATCGATGTGTTGAGCAAGTATGCGTGGACCGTATCGCTCAAGAATAAGAGCGGGAACGAAATGTCCGAAACGATTGCAAAGATTATTGGAGACGATAAAAGGTGTCCGAAAAATTTTCAAACCGACAGAGGAAAAGAATTTTACAACTCGAGTGTGCAGAAACTCATGAAGAAACACAACATTAATCATTACTCGACATATTCCGTTATGAAAGCCTCGGTCGTGGAACGATTCAATCGTACTTTAAAAAACAATATGTGGAAAATGTTTACGTTGAATGGAAATTACAAATGGATCGACGAGCTATCTCGACTCGTTGCAGAGTACAATACGCGAAAACATCGCATCATCGGTATGAGACCTCTCGACGTCACTCCGGCGATCACCGAAAAACTTTTAAATACGGTGTATAGCAATGTAAAAATTGCGGCTCCGGCAAAATTTAAAGTAGGCGATTCGGTACGCGTGAGTAAATACAAGACCATCTTTGAAAAAGGTTTCACACCAAATTAGACGACTAAAATTTTTAAGATTATCAAGGTGCAGAAAACTAATCCCGCGACATTCATACTCGAAGATTCGCGGGGAAATCCCGTCGCTGGAGGATTCTACGAATACGAGTTACAACGCGTTGCCAATCCCGACGTATATCTCGTGAAGATATTTTTACAAAAAAATGGTGACGAGGTTTACGTAAAATGGGAATGGATAAATTATACAACTCTTGGATTCATAAAAATAATGTATTGTAAACATTTATTAAAATATAAATATAAATATATAAATATAAAATATAAATATAAAATGTACAAAATATAAAAATATATACATGGTTATGTACAATATATACAGGGTGTCCCATTTTAATGCCCCACCCCAAATAACTTTCTTATTTTTAATTTTAGAAAAAGATGTTTCAGACAAAAGTTGTATGGTTTCGAGGGGGACATAAGATGGTACCATTAATTTGATCTTGAAGAGTCACATGAAGGTTACGTGAAGATCATTTTCAATTTCTTAAATGGAACACCCTATATATTTTTGCATATTCTTGTAGCTTATCTCGAGAGCTTTCCAAAACACTATAAATAAACATTTTTTCATCAAGTACGTTTCGAGTAATGAGGCTTGAAATCATTTCTTAATTTTACATAAACCATAAAATATCTTGTAAAATATTCATTTTTTGATTATCTTACCTTAATACTTTTATGTACAAAATAATGAGAGAAATCCATTGGTGCAAAGAAAACATACAGTTGTTTTTAAGAAAAAAATATGTAATTTGCAATTAACAATTCTATATTTTTTCTTAAAAACAACTGTATGTTTTCTTTACACCAATTGATTTCTCTCATTATTTTGTACATAAAAGTATTAAGGTAAGATAGTCAAAAAATGAATATTTTACAAGATATTTTATGGTTTATGTAAAATTAAGAAATGATTTCAAGCCTCATTACTCGAAACGTACTTGATGAAAAAATGTTTATTTATAGTGTTTTGGAAAGCTCTCGAGATAAGCTACAAGAATATGCAAAAATATATAGGGTGTTCCATTTAAGAAATTGAAAATGATCTTCACGTAACCTT